GCCCAGATTTACGGGAATTCTGAAAAATTGGTTCTTTTTGACTTAACGAAAAGTCGACTGATTCCAGAACCGATTTGAACCCGTCCCTGGAGCACGCGCAAGTCTGCTGGTGACCACGGCCCAAGGCTATAAATACAGAAGCGCTTCTGTAGAAAATTACCACAAAAGCGTTAAACGTAGCAGGTCTTTTTCGCCGTTCATTCCAATGCCTAGAAACAAAGCGTCTGCGACAAACCGAGAGCAAAGCGACGAACGATATGAGGGGTGGAACAGTTCTAAGTTGTCTAGCTGGTGCTGACAATGTAACGCCTGGTCACAGAATCAAAGTTCTTGCAGCTTTGAGTAAAGAAAATTACATAACTGCAATACATATATCTCCTAGATTACTTGGCTTTCTTAGTGAACTATCAAAACCGAGCTTTTCGGTCCCCAACCAGCGTCGTAACCACATTGGGGAGATGATCCGCTCAGAGATGTCGCTAGTGTGACGGTCTGGCCGCCGTTGGCAGCGCCTGCATTCCTGCCACCACCGTCGGTGGTTTATTTTTGCCGGGCCGTATTTTGTTTGGGGTGGCTGCCAAGCGGCGCCCTCCTCTCCCAGTCGCCCCCGCGGCGGGTCGCCCACTCTGCGCGGTTTGCCGCGAGCAGACATGACGCGTACTGAGGTCGCGACGACGCCCCCGCCGCCCCACTCGCCCCCAGCGCACTCTCCAGGTCGCTGGCTGCGGCGCTGGAGTGCGTGTTAGGGAACAGCGGTCTGATACGGGGATTATTGATTATGCTTGTATCAACCTGGCCTCGGTCCAAATAATGATTTATCAAAGTTGTCTCCGTCAGTGGGAATTTCCAGCACCTGCCGGATTTTCCAATACCTGGCGATTCGAACTTAAGCCTCCGATGTTGTTTTCAGGTGGGTGGAAACCAGCTTCCAAGTGGATCGTGATCCCTCAGTGCAAACGTCATGTGGCGAATGTCAGTGTTAAGTACTTAGCGATTCCCCCAGGGTCTAATCATACATATGTGAAGACCACTGAATTAATGGTCACTACGTAGTGGGGGCCCATGACAAGGCACCGAACGGAAGAGAGAACAAACCTGTTTGCATGTTTTATGAAACAAATGTAAGTCTCCTGTTTGGTATGACCTATTATACAGAAGTGCTACAGTACTGCTATAGCACATTTTATGCGTGTGCTACCCAGCGCCTCTAAGCTGAGATTGACACACTCGATATACCTACTCATTTACTTTCCGGGGATTCATGTCAGGAGCCATTCCGTCCATAGCTCCTCAGTCAAAGCAATATATCATACGCATTAGCGTGGTTTGGGATTTGTATTCGGAGACACCACCTGACGGATCCACAGTTCGAAGTGGCAGTCCCCAATTCAACCCTGCTCCAATCGCCATGACCGCAGCGTCTTTAGCTTCACGTCCGAATGTCCCCGTTTTGCCCGGAGCGGCGGCCTGGCCAGCCAGCTGGCCGTCGGGGGTCCGGCGTGGGCTCGAGCTCTGAACGCTGACGCTGCTGGCGGCTGGCTGCCGGGGTCCGGCGTGGGCTGGAGCTCTGGACGCTGACGCTGCTGGCGGCTGGCCGTCGGGGGTCCGGCGTGGGTTCGAGCTTTGAACGCTGACGCCACTGGCGGCTGGCCGTCGGGGTCCGGCGTGGGCTCGAGCTTTGAACGCTGACGCCGCTGGCGGCTGGCCGCCGGGGTCCGGCGTGGGCTCGAGCTTTGAACGCTGACGCTGCTGGCGGCTGGCTGCCGGGGTCCGGCGTGGGCTGGAGCTCTGAACGCTGACGCCGCTGGCGGCTGGCCGCCGGGGTCCGGCGTGGGCTGGAGCTCTGAACGCTGACGCCGCTGGCGGCTGACCGCCGGGGTCCGGCGTGGGCTCGAGCTCTGGACGCTGACGCCGCTGGCGGGTCGGCCGCCTCCCAGTGACGTTGCTCTTGGCGCGTTCTGCCGTCGCGCCGTTTATTTATCCTCCAGCCGGTGGACCCAGGAGACCATGCAGACGAGCGTCGCGCGCTTCAGCGGGTCCTGCTGCCCGGCGATGATGTGCCCATGGGCGGGGAAGTGACGCCGCCGCTGACGCCGGTCTCTGAGTGTGCGGACGATGAGCAACCTCTAAATTTAACACGGCCGGCTCGCTCTTAAATCAACGGGCGAAGTAATTCGTGACCCGGCTGCTTGGAAGCTGGGTGAAATCAGGGCTTTGGCGTCATTAGGGCGTCTGAGTAATGCCGTTTATTCGAAAACCGAAGTGACGTAATGTAACCGATATTCTCTGCTACAATATATACTCCATGTTGAGCAGAATGCACCCTTGTAGAACCACGCTTCTTAGATCGCGTCAATCCAGGTTAGATATTCGTTTATAAATCTACAAAATCCAGGGGCCAACATCGTCGCGATTATCACAGGTTAGCCCAGGAGCCTGTTTGCGGCGGCTTCGCCGCGGTCGCCGCATTCTCTTAGAGAGCTGCCACGGACCGCAACCGCTGATCGCCTCTAACATGACTGCATCGCTTGACTTCCCGTCAGGTCACTGTGGCTGGGAGTTACTTATCTGCTCTTCTCTCTCAGTGAACTTGTACCGACACACAGTCCGCTAAAGAATGGTCACCTTGCAAGCCCTCCCCCTCGCTCCCGATGGTGCCTTCTGGGGCTACAAAAGAAGTTTCTTAAAGCTTAAGGAGCGGATTTCCCCTGGAGGAATAGTCTACAGGTGGCTAGCTGGATATCCCCTGGAGGGATAGTCTACGGATGGCTAGCTGGATTTCCCGTGGAGGATAGTCTACAGCTGGCTAGCATTCTGGCAGATTCTCATACTCAGTGAGACGATTAAACTGGAACGGTGATAGTCATCGTGTGAATAAACCACTTTTGCAAATGTCGGTGCAAGCATGAACAGCGAATTAACAACAAAGAGAGAGTTAAGCCAGTACAAGATACCCAATATGTTTGTCAGGCGGTATACGAAGCGCAGCAGTTACCGATCTGTCATATAACGCGAGGGAGCCAAGTAAATCAAGTTGTGCTAGACTGTCACAATCGCGTACTGAAGCACCGTAGGCGACATATGTCCCGGCATTGCCCTGAAGCCAGAGTGATGTGAAGTCGATGACAAACAAGCCTGAGAGCGGATTATGATACATGCAGCCCCAGAGCGTATTACAAATGGCGTCTGGAGGATATTTCACGTACTTTCACCGATTATGCATACACATTGGTCCCGATTATACCTGGAGTCTTAATAAGCCCTTTATTGATGCTGAGGTGAATTAGGCAGGCTATGATCATCATAGTCAAAATATAGCCCAAAGAATGATAAAATTATTTCACTGTGCGGCTTCGTCGAGACTCGCCCTTTCGGCCTTTTCTATTATTATGAGCATGGGCTATCTCATATACCAGACAACAATCTTAATTATGAACGTATGAACGTATCGTCTAAAAAACGATATTCGATATACAAACCTAAACGTAGATGCACACGAGCCCTTTTTCGGCGTGGCAGCTAAGATAGAACAATTTCCGTCTTTGGTTCCCCCGTCGGTCAGGGTCGCATATCTCAGCGTCGTTGCGTTAGGTAATTACATCATGCCAAGTCGTACTAGACTTTCCCAATGAACCATGCTCCTGTTTCACGATGCAGACTGATTAGCCAGCTGATCATCAGTCACGGGCCGTGGTGAGCCAATCGCTCTTTTCGCTTATCAACACTCAGTAATATTAACTTTATTTATTACTTTCCGCTTTTGTTTGTTGACCTAATTTCACTATGAACACAGCAATGCTACATGCATGGTTATGTGGCATTCCCAGGTTCGTTTGTTGGTTGGTTGTCGATTCACTTACTGGATTTCTGATCATTTCATGTTATTCCATCAAGCTAGCTGTTGCCTGTATTGGCTTAGATCCACTTGAGATAGCTCTGCTGAGCCTGTGTTCCTGCCTCCCTGTGTTCAGCTAATGCACTCCATGCCTGGCCACTGGCCTGAAAGACAACCGAGAGGTTTTTGAGCGCAGCTGCCGGTCTTCTGCGCCACCGCCGACCGCCGGAGTGCGGTTTTTGCTGTTGTCAGAAGGCCGCGAGGTTTGTTTGACGTCCTCCGACTGACAGGACAGCTGGGCCCATCACGCCTGTCGTCGCGCTCTTCTCTGGGAGAGGTGCGCTCACCTGTCTCTCACGCTCTCACCGCGGTGCTTAGCGCGCCGGGAAAATATTGTGGTGCGGGCGAGTGGCAAATTTTCCTTATGGGCCGTGATGAACGAGAACCGGCGGCCGTGAGTCGGGGGTCAGTTGTCACGGGGATTACCGTTGGCAACGAACCCGCTTTGGCCGGTGGGCGGAACACAGGAATGCCTCGCGGTGGATCCGCGCGAGAGCCAACTTTCCACCAGCACTCGGCAGCAAATTAACCCCAGTCAAAACTAGCCGGCACAGAAGTTGAAACGGTGGGTAAACCCTACTACATCTCCTGCACGGACAAACTCAATGCCGACAGTCAACAATAAGCTTTTTTTATTGAACACTGCATACCCAACATAAACATCCCATTAATCACGGTGGCTGTGCACGGTCGCTGATCAATGATAACGCAAACACTTTCCAACGACGCCAGCAAAAGACACGACCGATGGCGACGGCGTCGGGTCGACCCCGTATGCCCTGCGGCGGTCGGTGTCCTCGAGGTCCGCTGCGTCCCGACGACCGGCGGCGCCGACGGTCTATTTGTGTTCTTTGACAATCCTGCGTGTCTCCGCGCGATTCCGGCGGCCCTTATGTTAGCGAGAGCAAAATGCCGGCGCAGCGGCGAAACGTGGCAAGGTGTTAACACCACATCCGCTAGCGTGAGTCAGAAGCAGCTGCGAGCGGCGGCGCCGGCCGGTTCGCCGCGCGTGGGGGCGTGTGATTGGCCGGAGCGCCGGCTTTAGTTCGGACCAACTGTCGCCGCGCCGCCACGGCCGCCCGGCGCCACTCCTCCATCGCTTTTGGCCGCGTACGGAACGCCGCGGACGCGCTTCACGCCGTCGCCTCGTTGGCCAGGGCGCCGCGCACCGCTTCGAAGGGGCCCAGGAGCCGTCGAGTGTCGCCGCCGCCGCCGCCGCCGCCGCCGCCGCAGCCGCAGCGGGCCCGCCGTCGCCATGAGCCAGCAGCTGGCGAAGCTGGAGCCGGTCTCTGGCGAGATCACCAAACAGCAAAGCTCGCACAGTGAGTCGGCAGAGAGCTATGCCATCCCGGGTGGCGAGACGCACGAGCAGACGAGGGACGCTTCGCGTCTCATGGAGGCCAACATCGCCGGCGGGCACCTCAAGCAGCAGACGCAGGAGCACGAGTTCCAGCAGCAGTCGCAGTCTGTGCAAGAGGCGCCCGGCAGCGTCACCAAGAGCAGCCAGCAGGCCAGACAGCACCAGCAGGTCAACGAGGAGTCCAGCAGCAGCCAGCAGCAGAGCGACGACGGCCTGAGCTCCACCACAAAGAGCGTCACCTCCAAGCGCACCGTGCAGCAGAAGAGCTCCGTACAGCAGAGCAGCACGAGCACGAGCAGCACCACTGGTGGTGCACCGCCCACGATGATCCAGATGCCTCAGCAGCAGCAGCAGCTGATGTTGCAGCAGCAACAGCAGATTCAGGAACAGCAGCAGCTGCAAATGCAGCAGCTAGCACAGCAGCAGCAGGAGAAGATGAAGCAGATGGCGGAGCAACAGCTGGCGCAGCAGACGCAGCTGCTGCAGCAGGGGGATAACACGCAAGTCAGCGAGCAGACCCAGCAGACGCAACAGCGGGTGCACAAGCAGGTGACGCAGAAGAAGGTGGTGCAGCAGACGCAACAGCGCGTGGTGCAGCAGCAGCAGACGCAGCAGCAAGGTACGCGACTCTGTCCAGAGCAGGTGTTTAGACCTTTTGGCATGGTCTGCTCATGGTTTTCTTGGCTCCGCTTTATCCAAAAATTTCCTGCAGGACTAGACCACAGGAACTTCCGCAGGAGCAAGATATAACTATTCTTCCCTTTGTTCGGTCGTTGTGTCCGCTTGCATGCTGTCGTGGCCACAGCTAATATCACGTTCTATTCGAGCCTCGATTTATGCTATCAAATATGAGCAGTTTCTGGTCGTGGTATCAGCCACCCGACGGCTTGCTGCTGCTACTCGGTTCCGCAGAACGTGGCATGTTTTGGTGAGCCGTCTGTGCCTTTCGCCAAGCACATTTATCTTCGCTCATCCGCAGCTTTTGCATTAGTGTCGTCGAACTTTGCAGGCGTGCCTCTGATTCGCTTGAGTGTCTGGGCGTGTTTGGTCAGACGTGCGACTAGCACGGGAGGAGTCAGGATAACTGGATATCACGGAACTCTTAGCCTGATGCAAGGTTCTAAGCTCTTACAAGTGTCAGCCTGCTGGATTTTCATGACGTGCAGTCAAGATTTTTAGTGTTGGGTCATAAGAAATTGTGCGCATCAAAAGGTTGAAGACAGCACATGATGCTTGCCAGTTTCTCAAGACGAATCTCGAAGAGAGTACCGCGTGGAAGCCGTTAGCGTGTCATACCCAGCGGGCGTCTAACCTTGTATTCATCGGTAACCCACCGTCCATTGGGCAGCGGCGCGATATAACCCCATGCAATACGTCGCTACCGTCGAAGCGCATGGCTTACGGGGTGCAAATATGGGGGCTTGAGTGCTCGCAAGTGAATACGTCATGACAGGTAACTGACATTGCCACGTGCGAGCTTTGTTAATCATGGCACATTTTCCTGGTAAAAGGACATATTTTATTGTCCTTGCAAAAATTTAGCACGCACTTGTATAACTTTGCTTGCTCGATTTCTCTCTAGTCCTTCACTCACCAATAATGTAATTGCCCTCGCGGCGAAGCACTGTATTTACACGAGTCGTCTCTGAGGGGACGCTGAAGTGTGGATGTGCATTTTGTCAGACGCATCTGCATCGTCACCAGTGCAAGGTTTTGTCAGTACCTTTTGAATACTGAAAGAAGCGGTAAAGTGACTGACCCCTCAAAAATTGTTGAGTCAAGACGTAGAAAGTTTTGGAGCTGTTTTCTGCTTGAGGTACTTTCTGTTCGGCAGGCGCTTACGATTAACGCAATAATAATTGCGCATGTTTTTACCTTAACATGGCGACAGTGTCGAATGTGCAACAGTTACAGAGCGATTGTCTCAGATATGGCAGTAATTAACGCCAGATGATCACGGTAAGACCCCCTTGACGATAAACTGTAAAAAGCAGTTATATGTCCATCGTTTTGCATGCGTTGGAAAGATTGATGTCAATGCTAAGAGTGCAGATCCCAGTGTCTATGTCAACACTGAGATGATTTCGCTTCAAGGCTTAGCACATGTGTTAACGCTTGCAAGGCGTTAACACGGTTTCCTTCAACGTTTAGCTCAAATGACTCGTAATATCGTCGCTTACCGACACCATCTTTCTCCATCCACTCCAGTCGATCAGCCCTTGCTTATATTGGACATGGACAAAACAAGGCGGTCTCATTAATTCTCCTTTTGAGTCGGTTTCAATGCAAATCTGTCCCAAATAAGGTGTGCTGAAATGCGATCATGGGTCTAAATCTGCCGGGCTGGGGTTGGCGCATGCGCAGTGTGGCGGCGTCCGAGCCGACGGAGGACGCGACGGTACCGACGGTACGGCCGCCAACATGCCGCCAGACAGTACAGCCGCCAACATACAGTCACCGTCGAGCCGGCATAATAGGTGCCGACGGCTGACGCAGGCCGACAACACCCACTTGCCAAACGTGCACCCGACGTCAGAGGAAATTAGCTCCAACCGTGTGCGTGCATTTCTACCTGGTTTGCAACAGGCTTGAAACTTGCTGAAGGCTTCTGTCGCCGTCAATCAAGTGGCACTAATTGCATATGAACAATGGTATTGAAGGTAGAGGCTTTGGCAATATGGATAAACCTCTGGTTACCCATAAAAAGAAACAGGTAACGGGGCTGGACTGGGAAGATACTTTCAGGGCATTACCTGTATAGTTGTGGACACAGGCAGGAGGCTCGGAACCGTGAGCCAGATACTTAGATACTATCAATGCCTGTGCTAAACTCACTCATCACCAAAGTTATCCAGAGACCTGCATTGTCGAAGCAAAAATATTGGGCCTAGGCTTAAACATCTCATAATGTCCTCCCTCACGAGAAGTAAAGCTGTGAAAATGGTAACCAAGTGGGTAACTGGCTGGTTAATCTGATAACGAATGGCACACAAGCAGGTACGGTCAAACTCCACGAGTAACGGGTAGGCTATAAAAATGAAATCCTACCTGTGGAAGCCTCTAATGGAAGAAGGCGAGTTCATGATATTTTGTTGTAACGGCTGGATGATTGTGCATCGGCCAATGTCACTGTGTGCTCCCGACACTTTTCATGGGATGCTTACCATCCCTGAGATCACCTGCATACCTCCTGGTAATTCAGTTAAATTTTGTCATGCATAATGGCTGACGAAATTAAATGTATGTGGGTTCCAAGACATTCACTTAGGCTGCACAAGTGCGTTTCGATTTCAAGCATTTTGTTCTCAAAATATGTAACAATGTTTGCTTGATAGCGGCATTTGACCAGATCTCCTGGTATACTGCAATGCCAGTTACTTCCATCACAATGCGTTTGAAGACCAGTCATAACACCGAATAATTCCGATTGTTTTTTCGCAGAGCGTCTTTCAAGTGAGTTAAAGCTGAAACCCAGATATATTCTACACTTTTTGCTTATTTTGAATCCGACTCCCAGCCATCGAACATAGATACACCTTCAGAGATGGATTGTTGGAAAGCTGGCTCGATATGCATCCGGCCAGGCTCGGCAATTTTCGTCGGCGAACTCGATCAATTTCTCGAGATTTATGTCTTTGGTAACGGGCCAAAATACTGCGGAACACGATTATATTTGGGTGAATATTGGTCGATTTGAGCTGTTTATTGTATATGGGCACGGTTAAGAAAAATGTGTCATTTCTTGTCTCCGAGTCAATCGCAGGCGCATCTGTGCGTCGGTCAGTGTTGCGATCGCTTACTGCTTGTTGGACGGTACATTCGCTTACGTCATGCAGTTGGTTTTGGGTCTGCTTTGATTGTCGAAATCTTACCTTAATCCTTAACTCTATTCCTGTCTGAGTGGGGAACGATTCTGACCTCTCTGAAGTTTTTTCGTGACGCATTTCTTTAGGCATTGAGCAAGGTTCTAGAAACGTGATGACTTTTCCTGATGTGAGATTACATCTGGTGATATAATTTGTATATTTATACATGTGCCACAAGCACCTCCATATTTTTCGGAGGGATTGTTTTGGTATCTTGTAAGAACTTATATTTGGCATGCTCCATGTACGCTCACTATGCAGGTAAGATACTTTGCTGCAACATTCAAGATATCCTTGTGCATAATCGGAAACATTGAAGTGCGAAAAGCGGATGCAGGGACACATTTTCGGAGTCAGCCCTCCAATCTTTATGTCCTGAATGGTAGATCCGCCTACGAAACATAAAGAGGTGCATTGTCAAAGTGCGCCACTGGCTATGATGCTATGAAGATAAGTTCATGGTAATTTCTGTGTTGAACTCATTGAGTGTTGGCTTATTTGAACACCCAACAGTATGGTGTTACTGACAAGGTGATCGTGCGATTCGGATGTTTCTAACACGGTCTATCCAGGAGGCTTAAAATGGTTTGTATCAACACGGACCTGTACTGTGAAGTTGATACTGCAAGCACTACCGCTGTGAAGTGTTTTACATCGCCTCCTTTTTATCTCTCCTGACTGCGCTCTGACACGTTAAATATTATTAATTAATTATGGTGTAAATAATGCAACGAGAAATCGTTTCAACCTATGCTGAAATGTCTACCAAAAATATCTCCAGTGCCGGAGAAGGCAAGTGGCTCCCCGCCCAGAATCAGCATAAAAAGGCTGCACAGAAATAGGGCTAAAATTTCCCGAAACGGTGCGAACCGTGGTTTGCGTTGGAACGCAAGAAAGCGTCTCAGAGACGCATGCATGCACCCACACTTCTTTACCACCAGTACCCGCTCTCTTTTCTGCCCAAATGTGCCGCTCTCCTGTCGTTTCGACGTCGTAGGTCAGACTTAGATCTGGCTTCTTCCGTGCCGTGTTCTCTTTCGCGATGTTTCTTCCGAGAATTTTACGCCTCAGCCGTTGCTCGAATGAGGATAACATTTGGCTCAAGTTGGATGTTTGTTTGCAGTTTGTTTGCAGTTTGCTCAAGCAATGTGGTAGGAAAATCTCGTTTGATTGGACGGCCTGTCCAAAACTTCCTAAACTTGTATTCAGCTCAACTGTTCAAAAACTGCACTTTTTACTGCTGGAAACCACATATAATTGTGACATAGGTACCAGGATATTGGCTTCCAGAGGGCGAGACGGTTGATCTGGGCTGAACCGTGTATTTCAAGCTAAAATGCGCTGCTGAATGCCAGCCCATTTGACACGCGGCCTCGCTCGTTATAGCCTGAAAATAGTAGCATTCTGCAGCTGTTTTGTCTTCAACCAACTATTGACACGGTGGTGGAAGGAGTGTGCAGACAAAGAGGTGGTGCAGTCTGGCCCCCTCTTCTTCGCCCTCCTGTTCATCCTCTTGTTTTCCTCCTCTGAAAGTGTTGGCTGGGGAGTCCGGTCCCAAAAAAATTTCATTGTCAAGCTCCAACTCAGTAACCAATGACGACAACCAGCCAGTGGAAGGGCTTTCTTGGTGCTTAGGTTTGGCTGATGAGGCTTCTGTTAGCGGACTTTTTTACATTTTTGAAAGTAACGCACACATGACGAACATAGCCTTGTTAGAGTGTTCTGATGTCTCAGGACGTTTTGCGTGCCGTTC